CAAAGTGTCCCTTACCTTTCAGAGAGGCCACTTTCTGCACCTCTGACAAGTTAATATCCTGTCCAGTGCTTGGTGTGTGAGACAGAATCCCTGCTGCACATTCTCCATATGTTTTCATGTCTGACCGATGCCCATAATGAAGCCACCAAAGCCCTCTGATGACGCAGCGTGGCAGATTCACTGCCCGTGGATATTCTGCCATCTGGACCCTGGTGTTCCTCAGCATCCCTGAAGCATCACAGAGCTGCTATTCCTGTCACTCCAAGGGTCTTTGAAAATTAGATATCACGTTTGCAGGGCAGGGATGGCACCTCTCAGGTTGGCCACAGGAGCAGGTGAGGGGCAGAGTTTATCAATTCAAGAAACTCATAAAGCAAGCATATATCCTAGCAGGGTGAGAAGCCAGGCAGATGCTTTAAACGTGTGTGGATTTTCTTGCCTCATCTCTTGACTCCTTCTTAGCTTATGGCTCAAGAGAGGACCTAGTGGATCAGAATGAAAAGCCTCCATTGTGAGAACTCACGAATCACTGAGTCAACCTTTATCTTCTCTTTCACTCCCCTGCCCCTCTTCTACTGCTTAAACCAAATTATCATAAAGCTCTCTTAACGATTTCTTCTTATCTTACTTCAACCGTGTACATTTGAAAACACCCAAAAGGCAAATACATAGACCTTTCTGAACGAAATACGTACACCAAAAACTGTATTATGACTAACATTTTCCAATTTCTCTGAGTGATCATTATCCTAGAAAAGGTATCTCCATGTTGGCCATTCACTTGACTGTTCAGATCCAGACAGTCCTGTGTGGTTATGTTCACTACACAGTGGCAACAGCAAAGAGTATAAATGCCTGTGTGTATTAGAATAAAATGATTTCAACATTATGAATTGGGCTCCCAGGTGCAGGGGATTGGCACAGATACATATAAGTGGACATATGGTATTCTCTCCAAGAAAAGTATAATCTTGCTGGGATTAGAACCCCCTCCCAATTTTCCAGAAAAATAATTTATATAAGTATTAAGCCATCACCAAGAATACACTGAGCATGTATTATGGACAATGAAGAAAAGCCATGCTCAGCCTAGGTCTACAAACAGATTACTACCAGGTTGAAATAAAAAGTAATCAAGAAACCCCCAATTACTTAAGTTGCATTGGGTGACTGTCCTTGTCACCAGAGGCCAGAATCCCATAATCCCACACAGGCCATGGAGTGTGGCATGGACTACCAACACTGCATGATCTCCAGCTGGGGGAAAGTTCAGAGAGGACTGCCATAACCCTGAAAGATCCTCCAACAGGGCAGCACAGGCTGGATTTCAGAGATGGGGATGTACTGCTTATGAAAAGGTGGAGGGCTGAGTGTGTGGTGTCCTGCCAAATCAGACTCATGGACAGATTTACACTCTGAAAATAATGATTTAGAGGAGGAGAGAAATGAATAGAATTTAAAAACTCTCTCATTTCATTTGAAATATAATATAAAACAGAACACTAGCAAAAAGAAAAAAAAAAGTACTCTGAGAAGTGACAGTATATTTTTGCACCTTGGTTCTAAGCTGCGAGACACTCCACTGCTTATGTAAATGATCTATAACATTCTTTTCTTTCCATCTTGGCCTATGGATGTGGGTGTAGGACCCTTTGAAATACCAGATCAAAAAGGAAAGACCAAAAAAAAATACTGTCTCAGTATGAAAATATGAGAATAATATCCTATCAGGACAATGATAACACAGTGTTCAAAACAAGACAAAGGCAGAACACATAGGTGAGGGGAAATGTTAGATGCCACAGACCAGGAACATTTCAGAAATATGTGAATACAGCAGGCTCTGCTTGGTGACTTCACTACAGAAGACCTTCCAATCCGACTTGGTCACAGGTGGACCAATCACTCTGTTTATCAAAATGTCACTTAGAGCAGAAAGTCATCAAAATGGTCCTCTTGCTCATTCATGTTCCACACACAGGGAACATGGAGGTGACTGTCAAGAAGGAATGGACTTGACTGCAAGAGTTTTCCAGATTTAAATCCTAACTCTGGCAATACCACCTGTGTAACTAAGCTTTTCTCTGTGTCCTCATCTCCACAGTGAATGCAAAGGTAGGGTCCTACCTCATGGGACTGTAAGAAATTAAATTAGCAAATGCTGTAACTGTTGAAGAACAGCACTGACATGTGGTAAGCACTATGCATTTCAATAACATTTTTGGTAAGGCCAAGGCTACTTCTTTGCCTAGAGATCCTATTATCAGAGTTTCCATTAAAACCATACGAAGAGCAGTTTGCATGCAGAATCCCTCTACATTTAGTATGATCCAAAAAATTTGTACAGGCAGATACCTATATTTATTTTGATCATGAACACTGATTTTTTAGTAACTTGCCTTTAAATACTTTTGAAATATTTGGCTTTGTTTTTTAGAAACAATACTCATTTTGCATCATAGTTCATTGGTTTATATACTGTGTATGAAATTAATTATTAATTTCTTAATTACATGTTTACCATGACAAGTATTCCTCACATAAACAAATTGAGATACAAACATAACTCATTCTTGTTGGGCATTCAAGATAATTGGTAAGAGAAGTAAATATGATTAAGTAGAGAGCTTTTCATTAATTTGCCACCATTCATTAAGTTGAAGGTATGGTTCAGTATGATTTGTAAGTGGAAATGTTGAGTATTGGTTAATCTAAGTAGATTTAGTATAAGATCAATTAGAGACCCCAGTCCCTGTAAGAATATGACTTTATTATTTTATTTGCTGTACTGGCTTATTAAGTCTTTAGAATTAAGCTCAAATTGTGATTTTAATAGAGGGATCCCCAGTCCCTTTTATTTTGAGATAGGGTCTCGCTAAGTTGTTTAGAGCCTCACTAAGTTGCTGAGGCCAGCCTTGCGTGTGCAATCCTCCTGCCTCAGCCTCCAGAGTTGCTGGGATTACAGGTATGCACCACCATGCCTGGAGAGGGGTTCTTCTTAATTTAATTTGTTATCACTCATTCTTCTAGAGATATCATTTTGGAAACTGGAATCAATACAGAAATTCATTACCAATGTAAAGGTTTTAATTTTCAGGTTAGTCTCCTCTCTCTCACCTGTCCCCATGATGAACCTGGCTTTGTGTTTGAGGGCAGGCATCCCACTTTCTATCATTCTTCTTCACATAACTGTTAACAGCCTATCTGTGATAAATATTATTTAAACCAGAATGGCTCCTCGAAGTGAAAACTATTTAAAGAAGAGTACAAAGTTTGTTGACAGAAAATACCCGATCAATAAACACTGAGTTCTGTTGCAAGGATATACATCATCCTCTGCCATTTGAACATGGATTGAAGAAATTTGTGACAGCCAATTAAAAAGCTTAAATATCTACAGCACATGTGTTTACTATGCATATCAACTATTCATGATTCATAAGTAGGGACTGCAGATCCTTAAACAATATTCCAGAAAAGCCTCAAGTTAAAACAGGCGAAACAGAAAAAATTTGTGAAAATGCAACAGTTGTTAAAAGTAATTATAATATTGGATCTTGATTATGAGATTGCAAAAGAAACCTGACTTTTTACAAATGCAAGATCCCTTATGACAAACATTTATTGTGATTGGGACCAGGAAATAGAATAGAGATAAATGACTTCCCTCTCTCCCCCACCATAATTTTTGAGTCATAAATTATGAATTATGCTCTAACAGATAAAGCAGAGAGGAAATTAATTTAAGAGATGAGATCTATTTTGTAATTCAGAGAGCTGTTTTATTTTAATTTGGGGGGCAAATTACATTTTGATATTCAGCTTTACCAAACATCTTTCTTTCTCTGAAATGAATCGCAATTTCCCATTATTTCTCTGAGGAGTCCTAAGATGTTCATGCCAAAATTTGGAGGGTAAATTAGTTACAAAGTCTGGGCCATTTAGAAAAGTACTGTCCAGGAGTGCTTTCTACGATGATGAAAATATTCTACTCGTGTACTGTCCAATTTGAATATCTGGACTGTAGCTAGTTTGACATATGAACATAGAGTTAATTTCATGTCAATTTTATAAGGAAAAATTTAAATGGCTATTGGTTCCAGTGCTGGACGGTGTAGTCTAGATGATCAGAGGGTGCAGAAGGGCCTTCCTTTTGGCCACCTGACCAAGCGGCTGTGGGTTGCCCTTTGCAAATTGCACAAGGCGCCTGTGAAGCCTGAGTGCACCCTCTGACAGCTGAGTCCAGAACAGCTTTGAGAAAAGCTCAGAGGAACTTGTTTGAGCAAATATGCACAATAATAGGATCAGAAAGATGGGAAACAGCAAAGCTTGGCCCTGCAAGCCCCCTCTACCAATTCATGTGTTTCCTGGCCATGGAGTGTATTCCTCAGTGCTTTGTCAGGGACAACTACAAAAGGATTCAAGTGGCTTGACTCTCCACAACTTTCCATGTTATGGAGGAGAATGAAGAAAGAGTTCGTTAGAGTAACTAAAAGACCTGCAAAAATACTGAGATAGAATCCAGGAAGTGCAGTGATGTGAAGAGGGACTCTATAGAGAGAGAGAGCGATTATAGAAAAACAAATCCCAGTTGTATTTTTTATTATGGAGAGTTGGAAATATAGAAACGTGCTTTGTCATTACATAGAACTCTCTCTTGCTTATCATGGAATGCATGGCTCCTTATACTAGTCCCCAAAGCTCTCAATTATTTCCTAAGTTCATTCCATGGTTCCACTTAGTTTACTGGAGGACACCCTTGGATTGTCCCTTTTACCTGTGTATTCTTTGTTGGTGCATTTCTTCATCTGCATGTAGCTTTCAAAAAAGTCAAGAATCTAAAAGATTTTCAACTTTAATGACATCTCCTGAGACAGGGAAGGATTGGAATTTTGGTACACTATGCCTTGCCTCTAGAGATGCTGGTGATTTTTGAAATTAAGTAACTTCCTATCAATAGCATTTCAGTAGCAAAGACTGTTTTCCGTGTCAACACATACCTGCAGGAGCAGATCAGAAGTTGGTCGGACTCGCTGTTGGAATAGGATGCTCAGTGTTCGGTTCTGTTGTTCCAAATCAAACACTCTTGTTTTCAACTTTACACACTCCTCCCTTAGATCCTACAACAAACACATTGAAAGGGGGAAAAATGTCTATAATGGGAAGACATTTTGGCATATTATAATCATATTTTATACATTTCAGACACATTAGTAAAAAAAAAATAGGATTTTTATTCTTCAAAGTCCCCCCAAATAAATCACAAACAACATTCTCTTCCACAGGCCATTGTCTGATGGAATTATTATGTGCAGAGAAGGCCAATTTTTTTTTTAAAAAAAAGCACCTTGAAATCAGAAGTGCATTAATGTAGCATGCTATTTTTGAAGACGGTAAATCTTAGCGATATAAAGTCAATTTAAGTTTCCACCTATACATTCTGCCTTTTCACTGTCTTCATGAAAGCAATCACAAAGCACAAATCACAAGGACAACAATGTTTTCACAATGAATAGAGATTTGATGAACTAAAGAAACTATCACTTTTGATGGAGTCTTTCGATGTCATTTGTGGAAATGAGTTGAGATGCTTGGCGCCTTGGCTAATAGAGTCAGCGAAGCATTTAGTGGGAAAGGGGGTAGCTCTGAAGTGAAGGCTTTAAAAGGCACTTACAATTTGTCCAGCCAGTGGATTTCCATATCTTTTGGGGGCATTTGGTTCTCAGTGCCAGAGAAGAAATACAGTCAGCCCACCGGGGCAACTTTTCAGAGGAGCTAGAGTAGCTCTTTTGAATAGTTTATTCCCCAGCTCACAGGTAGGGAGCTGACACTGGGGAGCTTTAGGGACCCCACCAGGGAACTGCCTTCCTATGGCATCTGTGATAAAGGTATTTGTGGTGCTTAATTGTCTGCACCCTCCCTATGAGGTTCAAGACAGACCCAGTAGAATAATGCCTTCAAAAGCTTATCCTTTTCTACATTTCAGACTTAATTTTTTACTATTTCCTAATGTTTTAAAAAAATGTATTCTGCTCTTTTGGAGCAGAGAACAAGGGTCTGCTTGTGGTTCCTGAAAGCTCTGTGTATTCCTGCTATCCTCTCCTAGCTGCCATCAATTTCTCTTCTCATCTCCTTCTTTCAGACCATATTTGGCCAGCTGATTGAAGTCCACTTCCAACTTTTTCCCCTCTGACACTTCATATGGTATCCCCCAAAGACTGCTCCCTTTCCTGAATTCCTATAAGTCCCATGTCTCCTCTGTGATATTTAACATATAATACTTATGTATTAATCCCATTTTTTTTGTGGTGTAGACTTCTCTTGTCAATTAAATGACCTTTCCTTCAACAGGCCAGCACAAGATACAAAATAAACAACCACATAAGCATATTGCTCTTAATATTCTTTTCATTCCATTGTCTAGCACAGCACCATATATAGTAGGAGCTTAATAAATGTTTGTAATTACTTTGCTAGAAGCAATGACAATGGTGGTTCTATTCTCCAGTGATAGGCATGATGATAAATAGAGTTCAAGTTTCTCAACACTTCTAGTTTGTGGATGTCTGTTTTCTGCCATAGGGCAGTGACAGGCCTTAGTCAAGGCTCTTGCAAGGAAGGGAAAGCACCAGGTGACAGCTCTGATACCCAGGGCATGATGGTGGTCACAGAGGTGGGTGGGCCTGATCCACCACCTTGTATCAACCTAATTGTAAGGCTAGAGAGATCTAATTGCTGAAATTGTACGTGAGCACACTCATCGTACCCTGTAGGGTTAATTCTACTTAAAAGGGGCAAAGAAATAGTCCAATGTGTGGCTCACTGCACAATTTATATTCTCTTCCCCCTTTTAGCTAAATGGGTGAAGTTCATGCATAGGATGTTTTCAATTGATTTGTTGTTAGAATGTAGAGGACAGAAAATTGATATCATGTTTGGAATGATGCACCTGGAAACAAGGTCCAGAAGGGGAGAAGCAGGACTGAGCATTTGTACTCTGGGGTACTCATTCCTTTGACAGAGGCCATTGTCAGGACCTACTTCCTACTCAAGTCACAAGGCCAGGTTTGCTTGTTTCTTTAGAATTCAGCCTCTGTGTTTCACTTATGCTAATTTTTGTTCTTAGCATTCGTATAACACTAATTGTTTTCACTATTACTAATTAAGCAATTAATAAAACTTGACTGTGGGGTAGATAAATATTAATAGTACCCATTGGCTAGGAAAACACAGTCATTTTCATTTGTAGGTGGTGATATGGAAACAGAAGCATTCAAGTGTGGATTTGCAAGAAAAAAGGGGACCTGAAAACAATAGCACTTGCAATTTTCAGCAGTAAAGCTGAGAAAAACTCAGAAGAGTCCTCAAATGAGTAAAATAATGAAAAGAAAATATCCATATGCTCTACAGAGAATTTTTATATAAGTAGCCAGATTTCAACAGCCGTTAATAGTAAACTTAAGGCAAAGTAGTTCATTCAACTCGAAGCATAATAGTTCTGTAGTTCATTAGTGGGAACACAGCCCATCCATTCTGAGAACTCTCAGTTTATCACTCTTTGCTCATCCAGTGCAGCATATGGCAGAGGGGACAAAGGAAATGTGATACTGGTCTTACATCACCGAGAAACAAATTGAGCTGGTCTGAAAATTTGCAGACAGGAAAAAATTGTTTGTATTGTTCTAAACATTCTTACTATGTTCCTTTACGCTGCAGATGGTCACGGATGCCAGATCGTCACTATCCCATTACATCCCAGCCATAACAAAAACACACACATATGCTTATGTGCATACACATAGGCACTATCAGAGCGGACAGAGAGAGAAAAGCACCTCTGACTGCCATTGTGGTACCTGGACAGAGGGTGGCAGCTGGCTGCCTTTGCTTCCTCTGTGCTCACAATAGGAATCCAATGACATAAAGGAGCAGACGACACATTTAGACTGGGTACGGGAGCAACTCTTCTGACCCTGTCACTTCCAGAGACAAGACCTAAAATAGCCTCTCCAGTAAAGCCTTAGAAATCAAACAACTCTCCTCTGTTTGGATGTCGCAGTCTGGGATCATGACTGTAGGTGGAGGCTGCACCATCTGTCCCCTCTCACAACATGTTTCTTTTTTTTTTTTTCCTGCTCATTCCTTAACTATATCTCAGACGTCAACAGGTAGAACTTGCTGAAAAATATAAGGCTATCCCTTCTTATCTCTTCTGTCTCTTCTGATATAAAAAGGGAGTGTGATGGTTAATTTTTTTGTGCGGAAATAATGTCAAAGACTTCACTATGTTTAAGATCAATGTAATGGTCTCTGGGTTTGAGAAAGTAGCCAAGCCTGTTCTCTTCTCAACGCACATGTCACTATCAAACAGAAATAGAGACAAAAGGACTATAGCTGACCTTGAAGGGAGCAACATGATAGACTAATGTAAAGGGCTCCTGTCATCTTAATGGTCCCAAACCACAATTTCACCCAAGTACAGGCAATGCAATTGCAATTACATTGTAATCCAGGTAAGTTTCACCTGCACCTGGGCTGAAAGAAGATTCTGGACCCACTGTTATACAGGCCTGTGGGAGTGTAGTTACTTTATGCACATGAGGAGTAAGACCATTACCGGCTCAAGGCTAAAGTCAATTTTTAAAAATGCTTATGTGCATGTAAGAATATTTCACAATGAATTCCACTACCATGCATTACACTTCTACCTAATAAGTTCAGAATTTAAAAAGAAAGAAAATGCTGATGGCTTAGAAAGAGGATATATGTTGAGTTTCTCACAAAAGTCTTGTTGAAAACTATTTAAGTCCGCCTTTATCAGGTAAGGTATTACAACGGTATCCTATTCAAAGGCAATGCGCATCATGGGAATATACCAAATTGGGGATGCCTAGGGATTAGAGGGCCTGGGCTCTGCTCCTTATTACACATATGACCTCGATAGAGTAAATCATTCTAAATAGGCCTCAGCTTTCACATCGATAAACCAAGGCACAGCATACAACTGGGCTTTTCAAGAGATGGGATGTCTCACTGACTTCATGGATGGCTTGTCAAGTGTCAACCTCTTAGTTCTCTAGATCTCTTTTTTGTTTTGTTTTGTTTTTTTGGCAGTGGGGATTGAACCCAGAGCCTCTCACATGATGATAGGCAAGTGCTCTGTGCTACACACTCAACCCTTTTGAAAAATTTGAGACAGCACCTCGCTAACTTAGGATCCTCCTGCCTCAGCTTCCTGAATAGCTAGGTAGGGCTACAGGCCCTGTACTCCTGCATCCAGCTAGTTTCCTGAATCTTAATGGCCACCAAGTCTACCAGCCTCTTGTTGTCACATCCCAAGTAGATGTCATTGATACCTCCCACTCTGCCAAATATGCTAAGGCTTCTGTAAAATGAAATGCCATTCTGGAAAAGGCTGCTCATACCTTAGACTAACCAAGGACCTCAATACCAGATGCCTGTTTTCCTTTTTCTTTGGTACTGGGGAATGAACCCAGGGACATTTAACCACTGAACATTTCCAGGTTCTTGCTACGTTGCTGAGGCTGGCCTTGACTCTTGAACAAATGTGTGACTAAATCAGGACAATGCAGAGGACATAGTGAGTGCTGTGGCATATGGGATTATGGACTTGTTATTCTCTGTGTTCATAACTAACCACTGGATTTCAATCCATGTGTTGATTTCCATTGCACCCTTTCCTTCCCTGTTGACCTATGGTAGGGAAAAATAGTAAATGGGTGAATGGGATCATGGAGGCAGAATGGTGCAGTGGGTAAGAGGGTGTATGGACTCTGACACTCTGTAGTAACTGGCACACTGGGAAAATTTTTTTCTTATTCCTGCCTCACAGGGTTGCAGTGAGAACAAAATGACATAATCTATTTTAAGTGCTCCATGTAGGATATTGGATATGACTACTAGCCCAATAAATATGAATAGACCCTCTTTAGGGACCAGATTTTACACAGACCATTGTCCAACTGCCCCTTCCCCCAAGGGAAATATACAGGATGCTGGAGTTCTTTAAAGCTACAGAATTGTTCGGCTTTCATCTGAATAACTGCTCAGCTTGATTATATCACACACTAGCCTGATTCTATAATGGTGAAGAGAAAACATCATATAAATATTTAGTTACTTTACTAACAAGCAGATAAAGATGAGATTGTTGATTTGGAGGAAAATTAATTGTGGGGAAAATGCTTTTCTTCCAAGTCTGATGTTAATAGCAATAAAACATTGAAGAACCTAGGAGTTACATTTTCAGCAAATATAACTGACTTAATGATGATAAAGTATATTTCAGATGAAAACAGGAGTTTAGCTTAGATTATTGATTTCACTGTCACTTGTAGACCTGGGCCCATGATTTAGAGACATAAATGAAACTGAACTGGGCTTTATAATGTCACTTTACTGTTATTGATTGAAAGGGGTACAGTTAGTTCTTTTGAGGAAATCCACAGGTTTTTTTGTTTGTTTGTTTTTCCTTTTTCTTTGGTACTGGGGAATGAACCCAGGTGCATTTAACTACTGAACAACATTTCCAGCCTTTCCTATTTTTTATTTTGAGACAGGTTCTTGCTACATTGCTGAGGCTGGCCTTGAACCTGTGATCTTCCTGCCTTAGCCTCCTGAGTTGCTGGGATGATAGGCGTGTGCCACTGTACCTGAAGAATCCACAGGTATTTGAGATTAAACTGAATTATTTGAACAGAACATTGTATGTACATATAGCAAAAAATAAGTGAACGGGAATAAAATGGCTTTTTCCTCCTTCAATATTGGTGGACTCTGTTATTCAGGATGGTAGTCCAGAAAAATTCATGATACGCTGTGAAAAATACTTTCTTATTTTCCTGCAGGAGAGCTGAAGCCAGGGCAGGCTTGCCTGTGTATCACAAGAAATGATCCATTCTAAAAGAGTACAGTTTGCCTATTATTTCACATCAAAGATTTTTGTGCATATGTGCAATTTGGATAAATCACTCAAAATTTCTACTTTTACTCTGTGCATACTACATCTGCATTAGAATTAGTTTTCTCATCTGCATTTGGAATGCATTTTATTTCCTATATTGTGCTCTTAATTAAATAGAAAATTTTTGTCTTTTTTTTTTTTTTTTTTTGGCAGCAATTTTACAGTCCCTATAAAAACCAGGAGGCACACATTTCAGCAGAACATGATTCTTTTGAAATCTCCAAAAGCCCCGGCATCTCTCCCTGCCTTGTGATGTCCCTGAGGTATGCTATCTCACAGTGGCACATCTTTCTGTGTCGTACTGCTTAACTGTAGCAAAGTAGATTTATCTGTTTACTAGTTATTACCTGGATTTGTAGCTACTTTTTTGTGGCTGACCTGAAGGGTCCCATTTTCCTTTTTACTGTACAAGACAACTTCCTTGTCTCTTTCTGAAGGTATCATTAAAGAGACAGGCATGGAAAGTCTTCCATCAGCTGTACACAGAGCTTCAACAGTGAGCTCTTCTGTTATGGTTTGGATATGAGGTGTCCCCTGAAAAACTCACGTGTTTGATAACACAGGAGTGTCGGAGGCGAAATGATTAGATTACGAGGACCATCACCTCCTGGCTTAATCCATTTGGTGGATTAATCATTTAAATGGACTACTGGGTGGGACTGCAGGCAGGTAGGGTGTGGCCGGAGGAAATGGGTCACTGGGATGTTACCTTGGGGATTATATCTTGTCCCTAACTCCTTGAGCAAACTCTCTCTCTCTCTCTGTCTGTCTGTCTCTCCTTCCTGGCTGCCATGATTGGAACAGCTTTCCTCTGCTATGCCCCTCCACCATGATGGTTCTGCCTCTAAAAGCTTCTGGAAGCCTCCTTTAAAAGATAGCTGGTATAAATAAGCTCTTCACTATCTTCGTACTCCTCAAACTTTTATTCTCCTGACAGAAGTGTGGGTGTGATGACTGGAGCTAAAGCAGCTGTTTTATGCCGACCATGGACTGAATATCTGAAACCACGAGCCCCAAATAAACTTGTCCTTCTTATTTGTTCTTGTCAGGTGTTTCGGTCACAGTGAAGCTAACTAACGTATCTCCATTCCTTAGTTTTGTGACACAATGAACGTAATTTTCAACAGGAGGAAAACAGGGATAAAGCCTTAGAAAGAGGAAAGACATTCAAATATGTTGTGGCAGAAATGGTCAGGTGCCCTCCTGATCTGATGCACCTTCTCCAGCCTCCTTAGGTGTGGCCTAGTGGCTAAGACCTGTTCAAAGATTATGGACATTGAACTATGAAAGCTTCTGGAAGTTTCCCTTAGAAGATAGCTGGTATAAAAGCTCTTTACTATCTTTGTACACTTGAGACTTTTATTCTCCTGACAGAAATGTGGGTGTGATGATGGGGCTAAAACAGCTATTTTAAGCTATTAGGAGACTTTAGAAATGGGGGCTATCTCCCATGGAAAAGCAAGATAGAAGCCAGAGACATCCTGGACTTAGAGCTATCTACCAGCCCTGTACTGACTACGTATGCATTTACATGTAAGAAAGAAATGATATTTTAGTTTATTTAAGCCACCCCTCTTTTGGATATCTGTCACAATGGAAACTAAGTCTAACTCTCCTTATAAAAGTAGTCAAACCTCTTCAATTATGCAATATTAGAGTAAAACCTGAAGCAGTCAAAACTATTTGCAAAAGGAAACATGACACTTCGACAGAAGGGGTAGGAAAGAGGCCTAGCAAAAATGTTATCACAATATCTATACATCACAATATCTATACAGTATAAAATCAAAGTAATATTTAGGTATGTGCCTGAGAAGTTGTCAATAGCTGATAAAATTCTTTTTAATTAAAAAAAAAATTGGGAGAGCACCAACTGTGTTGTTCTCATGAGTCACATCCTCCTGAGAATGCTGCAGGATGGGAGATGTCCTGTTGCACAGGAAGTCTCTCTGTTTCACAGAAAGATAAATCAGAACTAATGAAATCTGAGGGACCTAGCAATTAGCCTCCGAGGGATATTATGCAGGATTTGGGGAAACACTCAGTAAAATTCACCAAACCAGCCAAATTTGGGCAAACCATGACCCGCGTTGACCCACTCTGCTCCATTAACATGGTCTTATGTTGTCTGAAGGCAGAACAGTAGGGGAACAGGAGGAGACCTGCTACATAGCGGTTACCCCTTATTCATGTTCCCCACAGATGGACACATAAAAGAACTGTTCTACCCCGTCCATCCATAGGATCATGCAGCACCCCAGGGTGGGGTACAGAACTGTCATCCCTGCCCTACAGCAGAGGAACTAAAGCTCAGAGAAGTGAAGTCACTTCCCAGAACTCAAAGGCCTCTGCTGAGTTTTAGGCCCCAATGAATGCTGTCCCTAAGTGGAGTTCATTTCACAGAAATTGGAAGAATCTTCCCACATATTTAAGTTCATTTTTACTAAGTTAAAAAAATATAAAGAGTCTGCTACTCCTTTGGGTACATCAAAATCTTTCATTTTCAAAAGGCTTCCTATTACTTTACCCAGAATTAGTACTTTACGATTCTATTGGTCATTCATTGATGTCACTTCACGTGCCATCTAAAACACCCATGAATTTAACCAGAGTGAATAAATAGAGATGTATTGCATCTATCAATCACAATTTCTTGGTTTGACAATGTGAGTTGCATTTCTATTCACAGAAGCATTTTGAAAAAAAAAAATCAAGGCAGAAAGTGACCTACCTTTTGAGTGAGCAGAGCTTGAACAACTTGGTTGGCTACCTTTAAAAAAAAAGGAAAAAAAAAAGTTGCTGTTTATAATAATGAGACTTTATGCGCATGAACTGTAATTTACCAACAGATACTCCACAGCCCGCTGTGGCTAATTACCTCCTCACTTCCATCTTTTCCCTCTACTTCCAAAAGACCTGATTCTTTTCATAATAAGCCTATCCTTCCAGGTCATATTTTGCTATTTCCGAAGGTGACCTTGTTGCTAATTAAAATGGTTCAGCTGGAAAGATCATTCATACCTTGACTTTCACATTTTCATATTTGGAAAAAAAATAATGTCCTTTCATATGTAAAGTACCCCAAGAAGGCTAAAAAAAACCCGACACAGTGCACAAAACATGATCCTAATTATCTGTACACAGTTGCAATACTTTGCTGATTTACAATGTCCTTTGTTTCTCCTTCTTATTCCCTTGCTGTCCCACTGTTTTGCTGCTTAAAATTACTTGCAAGAGGGAAAGCTGAATGGCCTCATCTGGGGTCAACACATTGTTTCCTCTACATCCTGATTCTCTGCATCCCCCCTTACGCCATCCCTTGTGGTTGCCACCTGTAATAGAACGGGGTAGTTACTTCCTTCCTCTAATACCCATGTTTTCCTCCTTTCTCAGTAACAAACTCCAAGGATGGGGTACTGGGCAAATCCAACTACATTTTCCAGTCTCCCTGTAACTATGTGTCACCATGTAACAACACTTTGGCCGATAATATAAAAGCAGACTATTTGGAGGGTCTTATGGGAAATCTAAAAAGAAGAGAACTTCTTCCTTTCTCTGTCTGGGACATGAGAGTGATAGCTGGAGCTTCAGTAGTTACCTTGACATGGAAGAAGCATATTTAATGTATTTGGGTAGAAAAATTGGATAAGCCTGGTCCTGATGACATTAAGGGGCTACATTGTTTCTCTCTGAACTTCTGTGTAAGAGAAAAATAAAAGTCATTATTATTTTGAGTTTCTTCCCATAAACAATTGAACATAATTCTTCCTGATGTACTAACAGAATCATAAGTGTCTTCAGGTAATTGAGGATAGCGAGGAAAGCTGGGTCTATTCCAAGGAAGTGAGTCTTGATCAATCTAAACAAATCTCGACAATTCTAGTCCTTTTCAGCAACTAGTTAAGAAAGCAGGTGACACTGCTTGACATAAAGACCACATGTAAAACCAGTAACATGTCTCAGAGATTTCAAAGATCTGAAATTTGCCAGGTGTGGTGGTGCACATCTGCAATCCCAGCATCTCTGGAGGCTGAGGCAGGAGGATTGGAAGTTCAAAGCCAGTCTCAGCAACTTAGCAAGGCCCTAAGCAGCTTAGTGAGACCCTGTCTCTAAATAAAATCTAAAAAGGGATGGGGATGTGGCTCAGTGTTAAGCGCCCCAGAATTTAATCCCTGGTACTGAAAGAAAAAAAAAACCTGGAATTTTATTCACATAGCTATTCATCATTTATATATATATAAGTGTATGTGAATGCAGATTTCAAGACACTTGAAACCAATCACCTACTAAACTTCACAGTAACTACAAAGCTATGTACCTACATAGCTAGTGCTGGTAAAACTAAGGTGGACAAAGTATTCAAATGGTGTTTTCTTTTGGCCAGTATGTAAACTGTAAGAATTCATTAATTCAGAATTAATAACCAAGTCAGAATATTTAAATATCCTAAATATAAGTTACTTTTTCACAATAATTTCTTCCTTCATTTATTTAACAAAAATATTCTAAGAATCTTCTTGCAAAGCTAGATGACTGGGATATAGTGGTATCTGGTAACTGGAATCAGGAAATTATAATTACAATTTTTAGAATTTGAGTACTAGGAATTGAACCCAGGAGTGCTTTAGCACTGAACTACATCCCTGGTACTTTTAATTTTTTTATTTTGAGACAGGGTCTTGCTAAGTTGCTCAGGCTGGCCTTGAACCAAATCTAAAAAGGGATGGGGATGACATTCTCCTGCCTTGGCCTCCTAAATCCCAGGCGTGCACCACCACGCCCAATTTTAACACAGCATGACAGACATGTGATTGCCATGGTAATCCTCACATCAACCCAGGACTATGCAGCACACTTGGCTTTTTTTTTTTTTCTTGATGACAAATTTATTTTTGGTGTTGCTAAACTATTTGTGCTTGTTTCCCTGTCTAGTGTAGCAGAACAGATTACAGAAAGAATGTTTTCATGGAGCTTAATTGTTTTTTGACTCAATATTGACAAAATAGCACATCCTTCATGACAGTTGGCTACCAGCAAGTCTCAGAGAAAATTAAAACACAGGCTGTCATCAGCGTTTGGTTAGGAGGCATTCATACCACAAGCAGCAAATGATGAGGGTCCCATTATCCATGATTTATTAGTAAACTGTATGCACAAGAGGGTTTTTTGTTTTGTTTTTGCCCATCGGTAGCTTTTCCAAATTTACCTTGTTTACATCAAGTAAAACAAAAAAGGCCTTCACTGAAACTGACTATGGTTTTGGAGAAAAGGTATTCTTATTAATATTTGAGTGAAGCTCAAGTTCAAAAGCCTACCCAAGAATTACCATGTACAAGAACAAAACTGATGCTCCATTCTTCCTTTAACTTTTCATTCATATGTGACCACAACAGTGACAAAAATTTTTCACTTCAAACAAATTGACAACACCATTACTGTGAAAATGTTTTAGCTTTTAAACATTCATTCCAACTCATAATTTAAAGTCAAATAACATATCTATTCTATTGTTGGCAAATAAAATAAAGCAGGATGGAACTAGTCATGTATTGAATCAGGAACAATGTACCCAAGTTAATTCACACCATAAGTAATTTAGTCTTTTTTTTTTTTTAGTGTCAAACTTTGGATTTGATTTACATTCTCATAAAACTGCCGAATATCAATATTTTCTTTTCTTCCTCCAAACTGGTCTCACTTAAACCATTCTGTGTAACAGTGGTCACATAAAATAGCTCTATCCATGATTTAATGGGAGACATAGAGTAATATCCTAACTGTAACAGCCCACAGGAGAAAATGTGTTATATCTTTGCAATCCAAGTAGTTGCCCCACAGGCTTACAGACTGACACAGTTCCTTCTGGCGTGTACTTTGGACAATTGTTTGCTCTGCCTGAAAATTGAACTAAGATACACTAATACATTATTTCTTTACCTACAGATATGGGATTCTATTATCCAAAAGGACTCACAGGCTCTTTGCAGAAAAGCAGGCAGGTTGTACTAATTCTTTTCTTTGTACTGTTTATAAAGACAGTTTCCTAGGTCTTGTTTCTGCTTTTAACAGCTAAGCTTCCCAGATGCATCAATAGAACAGTCGTTTGGGGTTTGTGGCTGCAACCTCTAACTGGCTCACAAGATGATGTTCTGAATGAGCCCCTGCACATAATGCTCTAGCATTACACCCTGAGCACTTGGGTTCCAAATAATCAGACACCAGCAGGCCCAGCTAATGAGAACAAATAACTTCCAGTGTCACCTGCCAGCTTTCTCTCCAAAGAAAGGAAATATAGCAGCTGGGTTGGGCCAGAGGGACACGCAGGGTGAAGCTGATAGTCCTTAACCCCCTGGCTTGTGTTGCAACCTTCTCAGGCTCTCTGTGGAGACTTCCTCTCTTTACTCTTAGGAAATGGAGCAGAGTTGCAGGTGAGATAGAGAAGCCCAGGAGAACACCTGAGTATATCCCTTTTCCTTCTCAGTAATAATAATAATGAGCTAGCTCCTCCGATCACCAGATACCCAGTTCATCTTCCACCTCACAAGACTTAGCTCTTCCTCCTGCTGGGACACCAGTTCCCAATACCCCTGGAAGTGGGCAGAGGAAGGAGGAGTTGGAGCTGCTGAGTTATCTATTATTTGTTGCAAAATAATCCCTGAGGCTGGATGAGAAGTCACAGTAGAGAGTTTATTCAGCCAATTCTCAGGGCATTGAGAAGACAGCCCAGGGCTCTAGTTTAGGGAAGAGGGAGGGGAAACTCAGGGGAGTCAGAACTCAAAAAAGTCTTCATACCTTGCTTTCATACTTTGGTGTGTTATTCTATCATGTGAAGCAACTGTCATTTCAGCAAGGTAACCTGAAAAACTGGTTGAAAAAGCACATGTCTTTGAAACCGTGCTTTGGAGGAATTTTCTGCTTACTAGACTGAGGCAGCTGGAGAAAAGAAGGAAGAATATCAGGATAGAATCAAAAGAAAGACTTGGGTTCAAAAACTGCCTGTGTTGATGGGACACTGACATGTGGGAGGATGGGGAGCAACCATAAAACAGAGGAACTGTCTGTCCCTAATGTTGTGAAAACTGCATGAGAAGATGGCCATCATCCAAGAAACCACCTAGGACAGGCCTGATATGAGGTTGTCACTCCATAAATATAGAACATGAACCGGGGGGGGTTGAACTTCAGAGAATTTGACACCTTTTCAAATAAGCAGCTAAGAAAGAAGGATTTGAAAATAAGAGATTTTATTATTTCTAAGTGAGTGAGGGGTGTGTGTGTGTGTGTGTGTGTGTGTGTGTGTATACAAATCACTAGGCACCCATACTATTCATTTACCAAAACAGCCCTATAAGATAAAAACGAGTAACTGCGTGCCTCACCATGCCACAGGATGAGGGCGTTGTGACAATGTTGATCCTGAGTCTTCCTAAACCAAAGCCCATGTGGTCTCTTCTAATTCAAATCAGTCTTTTAAGTGGATCTACTGTTTTTTTTTTCATCTGATTGATCCTTTGGATGATCTTTTGGATTGCTGCATAATAAATGACTGTTCATCTCAGAGGAGATAACTGAAGAAATTATTCTAAATATGTATGTGGGATTTTGGGGAAAGTAATTTGGAAATTAATTTCCTGCTGCTAGTCTCCATTCATTCGTTTAGTCATTTAACAAATATGCAGTAAGCACTTAATATAGGCAAAGAATCATGCTGGGTCCTGAAAACATAACGGTCAATAGAATGTGGATGCTGCTTTGAGGTGGCTGGAGGATGGGCAGACAAGAAGATCATCTATGCATTTCATGGCCTTGTCAGGAAGTGGGTGCTGGGAGTACATGAAAACCATGAGCAGGATCACTGTCCATCTATAAGACTGTATCCACTAAGACACGGGTTTTAAAAACTATATAGGGGCCAGATGTGGGATATGCATGAGAATGTCCTGGTAATGATTCCACAATCCAGCCTAAGCATATGGATCAGAGACACGGCAGAGAGACGTTCTTAATGTACTTCTGTCTTTATTGAGTGTTGGCCTAAAATATATTCTGGCATTATTTTTTTTTCTATTTCAGAATGACATTCAATAGTCTCATTTTTCTTGCCCTTTCCTGTGCTTTGAAATACAGAAGTTGAAGAAGAACCTGACCTCAGCATCCTCTCTGAATCTATGGACTGGGGCCCAGCTCTGAGGGTCTGAAGGGGAGGGCAGCTGCTCTGAATTCATAGGCAGAAGCTCCATCCCCTGGAAAGTTTTTGAATACTGCAAATTTCCTCTCCCAACATAGCATACCGACTGCAAAGAATTGGCCCAGGTCTGAGAATGCGAAATTTTACCACTCATCTTTCTGATGCAGAAGGTCCTAGGAACAAACTTTGAGAAATGCTGGGATAGAGTTTATTTATTGTTGGCACTAGGGATTTAATCCAGGGGCACTTTACCACTGAGCCATATCTCAGCTTTTTTTTTTTTTTAAATTTTGAAACAGAGTCTCACCAAGTTACTGAGACTGGCCTAAAACTTGTAATCCTCCTGTCTCAGCCTCTTGAGTTTTGGGATTATAGGCATGTACCACCACACCTGGTGGTAGTATTTATTTTTGGTTCAAAGCTTTGCATTATTAACTCAGAATAACCTAAAATTTCTGCATAGGTCAGTGCTTCAAATTTTAAGGCTCTATCCCAGGCAAGACTGTATCCCAGGCAAGAATCTGATCAGAATCTCAGGGGTGCAGCCTCACCAGAAGCACTTGTGAAGCTCCCCAAGCATGGCCAACATGTACAGGGGTGAGTGCCACTTGCCTTCCCACATGTGAAACTCAACCTCATGGGCTCCATCCAGCTCCTCTGCTGAAGCTGCCCTCTCCTTCCCCTCTGTCCCCTTCACCACCCACCCACCTGCTCCTCCTCCCATCCTCTGGTGCCTGAGCCATCTGTTCCTGAAGTCTCCTTTGCAGCTCATTTGTTCTGAGTTTCTCTTGGCCCCTTTCTTTGTGATTCTGCATTTTCCTACTTCTGCTAGTTTGGCAGCACCATGAGCCCTCAGGGCCTGCATGAGGTCAACACCCAGTAAAGGTTGGTAGGTCACAACTCAGTCCATCCAAATGAAATGCAGTGGTCTTAACAGGTATAATTTTACTTATTATATACATGCCATTACACTTCTGTACATGGGAATAGTTGTTCTGAATGGAATTATGGCCAAAGCAATACTATGAATAAATAGCAATTCACCAATAGCCAGTGAACTGCCTGTCAAACAGGCAGCCTAATAAACTAGAGTCAAACATGGAGAACTCTAAAATCCTAAGGAAAAATGAAATAAATCCTTGATTTTACCTCTGTACTTCCCATCAAGGAAATGATGAGATGGATAGCAGTGGAGGTGATGGTAAGGGGTGTGTATGTGTGTGTGTGTGTGTTTGTGTGTGTGCATGTGCACTTGTGGGCGTGTGCATACACCTATCAAACCAGGGAATATGTAGCTGTGTGTATCTATGCATGTGGGTCTCTTTATTTTTGAGTAAACACCCTCTTTTAGTAGAAAACACAGAAAGAATTTCAGACTCTTGGTGTTTTTTCCCCAAATCCTCAATATATTCTCTGTTTCCCAGAAAATAACAATCAATGCAGATAGGATTGAGCAACATTAAAATTTACATGTTATTCACCTGAGTATGTTTTATGAAACCTACCAGCAAGGAAATAACTTACATGAGCCTTACCTTGTTAGTTTGTCTAATTAGTATAAAAAGTCTTGAAAAGAATTTCCAGTTGGCATTATTACTACATTGAACTACCCCTTTGAGAGCATTCTCTTACAATGCACAGAAATGGATTGTCTACCTCATGCAATTAGTTACAAAACAACTGGCATGTGTAATCAGGGGCCAGTTTTTGTGAATACAAAACATTTGCATTGCTCAGAGGTAGTTCTTTGTTGTAATCACCTCTTTGGCAACTGTTAATTTTTGCAATTAAGAACAGAGGGACTTCCCCTCTGAAAATTCTGCCTACAGTGGAAACTCTATGAAATGGTTTTGTGGGTAAAAACTTATGTTTCTCCTGACAAATTCTGACAAGACCTTCAGAACACAGACATGGGAAACACATAGAAACCAGACCGTGGTTTCCAAAGAGAAATGCTGTGAGCTTTTTGATAGATGGAGAGGGGTGACCTGGGAAAGAATTGTGACACATAAAAAGTTTCTGTGATGTGAGTCTCATAAATTTGACTTTCGAGTACAGATAAAGTCTCATTGGAAATTTCTGTGCAGGAGGTTAAAGTGAAACTTTGCTGATCAATGCATATGACCCAAGGGCATTATTTGTTCCTTTAAACACCCATAGATCTATTTGATCTTTCTTGGCCTAAACTTTGATTCGACCAAGAGGCTGGGGAGCAGGGGTGAGGGCTGCCGAACTGGCCTCGCTAGACCCTGAGCCTTTATGCCTTCTTTTGTGTCAACCAACTTTTCATGATTCTTTTAACTCTGGACATTGTAAAGATTATTCTGCTCCTGATAGGGCAGAAAATTACAAACACCATATTGCTTTAATAACCAATGTATGTGGCTGGAAATATAATGCAATGAAAATATTGAATATTAATATTTTTTTCTGGGGACATCTTGGGAGTTCTCTAATCGCATATAAGCAAAAAATACAAATCAGACTGTTCTCAGGCAGGACTCCCAGTGCAGCAGGCACCAGCACCAACTGGAGAGTCTGGTGACACACAGATGACGGGCTCACCCCAAGTCTGATTCTGTGAGTCTCAGTGGGACCCGAGAGTCGGCATTCCCAACAAGGTCCCTGGAAAGTAGATGTTGCCCCTCCAGAAATCACGTTCCAAGAAGAAGTGCTGCAGGAAAACCCCAAGTGTGACCTGTACACTGAGGACAGAGACAGACTCTAAAGAACTATATGGTGATACAGTGGGTGTCATAGCTGGGATGGGAGAAAGCATGCTTTACAGTCTCGCACATCAGCCACTAGAACAGCATGGCTGAAGAGAGGGAGATGGAAAAGGGCAAGAAACATCAAGAGGAACTTGTTGGAAACATATTTCCTATTTGTTAGTAGGGAGAAAAAGGACTGACAATATTTTGGTAATCCCCACTGGCAGAGTAATAGAAAAGTAATTAAGTATAGCTTTTCAAAAATCTGTTCAATGAATCTCAAACTGAATCTCCCAGAGCACTCATGAGTTTTAGGATGTTGGGCAGATGCCTAAAGAAGTCCTCTCATTTAAGTGATGCCAGCAATCACTAGCAAGTCTCAGAGGAGATATTTCCAATGAGGGGAAAGGCCTGTCCCAGCAGGAAGCCACAGCAGGGCATCTCCAGCAGGATGACTGGTTGGTGGTGAGGTGGAAGGCTGAGGGGAGGACAGGGCGAGGCACACTACTGGCTTCCCCCTTACCTGCCCAAAACCCAAACACCCAAGTCTCTGTCTTCATCTCTTTATTATCATCAAATAATATTTATTGAATTTACTCATGCATGTGGCCCTGTCTCCTTCCACTCTGCTCAAATTTTCTTCCTCGCTTCCCTTTCTCTTTTTGGCTTGTGCTCAATCTACTGATTTTTTACCTCTGGCTGCCAACTGTGAACATTGTCCCACCCACTCTATCAAGGATTTTTTTTTTTTTTTCCCAGAGATGGCATCCAATTGCAGATGCAATGTGCCCCAGTGTCATTTTTCTCATTCATAGGCAGGGATCACACTTATTGGACAGAAGGAATTGATCACACAGGGAAGCACACTCCAACTGTGCCCTAAGAATATTAAGTAATAACCAGAAGGAATTTACAGATGCCTGTATTTGTAAATAAGAATGGAGGGAGGGGGCTGGTGTTGTGGCTCAGTGGTTGAGTGCTTGCCTCCCATGCTTGAGCTACTGGGTTCACTCCTCAGCACACATAAAAAAATAAATAAATAAAACAAAGCAAAGCTATTATATCCATCTACAACTAAAATAAAAAGAATGGGGGGAAGAGAGGAAAAGAGATGGGCATACACATACACACACACACACACTGCTGATCTTCCTTCTTACAAGTTTACAACTTCCCTTTGGAGCAGCAAATGCTAAGGTTCTTTGGATGCTGGTGATAAGCATACACTAAGATCTGATTATGAGGCTCTGACCAGCCCATATGATGGACCTCTCCATTCACCTTACCTCATCCAGACATCGCTCATACTGCTCTCTTTGATTTTCATTTTCCAAAGCCAAGGCTGAATTCTCCGCCTGCAGTCAGGTACAAAAATAACACAAATGAATCAATGGAATGCTCTGTTGTGTGACAACTCATTCAATACATTTACTAAATATCTCTCTTCAGGATCCCAAATAATCTTTTAGAAGTACCTATGACAAGTTCGCTCTAAGTACTATTATAAATATCTCAGGAATGACTTCTGCCTTATCAACTCTCTCACAAAAATACATTATAATTTTAGGAAATGCAAAATTTGATATTCCAAACAGGTAGAAAAATCAAACCATGGCTTGATGTGAGAGTGTTCCATAGAAAGATTACAATGTTTATCTCATTCAAGGAAAATGTGAATGTAAGAAATGCCTTAATCTACTTCATTAAGACCTGTCACAATCTCACAGGCTCTTATTTGTTGAGGCCACAGAAAAGAATCTCAGGTAAAGTCATGAACAAAAGCCGAATTCTGAAATGCTAACCAAACATGTTATTTTCACTGTTATTCACTGACATTTGAACATCAAAAGACAATGAGAAATGCAAGACTTGAACTCGGCTTAAGCCTCCCTCTTCCCACCATTCTTCTTCTAATTACTGCTTTCATGCTCCTCAGGGCCACGTGGGTATGTGAATGCTGAGTGTGGTGACTACAGAACTGCGTGGAAGAGCAAGAAGGGGAGACGTGGTCTGGAAAAGCAGATCTTTTAGAAGGAGTATGAAATGGTGGCGTGAGAGCTGCCCTCCATGTCTGGGGACCTGGTTCCAGTGTGGCGGCAGTGGTCCTGTTTGCACCCTGAACTGTGCAAGTCAACCCTACCCAGAGCTGTGACAATGATCACCTAGTCACCTCCCCAAAAAACAGCTCTACCCATCTCTTCACTACGACCCTCCTTTGCATTTGGCAGTGGTGCTCTGAGTCAGTGTGTAGAAAGCACAGTGTATTTTTAGATGGATATAGATTAACATCTTTCTTTCGTAACTTCTCTGTATCCATTTTCTTTTACATTTGGAGATGATAATTCCAAACTTATGATTTACAAGAACAGTAGAAAAAACTCCCACACACATTTTGTCAGACTCACTAATCATTAGCCTTTTGCCACCTCTGCTATATCATTCTCTTTCCCTTTCATTTTTTCCCTGGACCTTGAAAATAGGTTGCAGAAATGACAGACAGCCTTTACCCCTGAACACTTCTGTGTACTTCTGAATAACAAAGACATTCTCTTGCACGATCATAGTCTAGGTGTTGATTTGAGGAAACACAATATTAATAGAGCACAACAATCTAACATACAGTCCATATTCCAGTTTCATCACTTGTCCCAACATGTCCTTTATGGCACTTTTTTCTAATCTATAATGCTATCCACAATCATGCTTTGTATTCTAATGTCATCATCATTCATCCAGTATCCTTTAATTGGAAGCAATTCCTATGTTTTTCATGTTGCTTTTTTCCTTCCTTCCTCCTCCTTTCCTTTCTGAGTAGAGGTCATTTATTGTGTACAAAGTCCCTTAATTTGGGGTTGTCTGAAGTGTCCTCATGCACACATGGCAGGAACAGTGACCTGTTTGATGCTGGGTCCTTCCGCAGGCATCGTATCAGTCCAATGTGAGCCACGCATTCCATTACTGGACCTGTTGACTTTCATTACATGCTGAAAGTGGAGTCTGCCAAATCTCTGCTCCATAAAATCACCATTTCCCCTCTTATAACTAATAAGCAATTTTGATGGAGATATTTTGAGGTTATAAAAATATCCTATTGCAGGAAAGATGGTGGAATGAGACAGACATCATTACCTTAGGTACATGTATGATGGCATGAATGGTGTGACCCTACTTTGTGTACAACCAGAGAAGTGAAAAATTGTGCTCCATTTGTGTAAAATGAACCCAAGAGCATTCTGTCGTCATGTATAACATGATCAGAACAAATAAATTTGAAATATATATAAACAAAAAAGCAGTATGTAGAGGGCAGTATGTAGAGAGCACAGTGTGTTTTTCAAAGCAGGGGCATTGACAGGCGGAAAGAGACCTGATGAGTCTGATCCTAATAAAGGGGAAAGCCTGTGAATGCTTTATTTCTAGTGAGACACACCAAAAGGATTCAGTGAGAAGCTTCTTCAGGAAAACAGGATGAAAATAGGGAAAACAAGTTGGGGCTTGGCAGGTTATGCCCATCTCCAGGTGGCTGCATTTCAACTTAGGGCTGTGAGCTAAGGCAGGGCGCCAGCATGACCTGGACTTTCTCCAATGGGGGAATTTCACCCAGAAGTTCCCAGAAAAGCAACCTCCCAGCCTTATGATGGTGCAAACAAACCCATAATTCATACATGGTTTCCCACAGACCTGTCCATGAAAGAGGTCCTGGTTCATGATATTTATATTCTTTTTCTCTTACAAAGACTTTCATTTTTAAAAATCAGTAATGTTTAATATGATCAAAAGATTGTAAGCTCCATGAAGGCAAGTCCTGCTTCCATTTAGTATGTCCCTAGATTCCAGTTCCAGAAGTATAGTGAATACATAAGAAATACTTTTAAAACTTAAAAAAAAATCCTATTGCTCACCAAAATTTCACCTATTTTAGCAACCATCAATAAGTTCTTCTTACCTGAGTTAACTATTACTTTAGCTGCAAATGGTGATTTCTAACTCCAGTAGTCACCCTCATTGTGAGGTATACATTTCAAGAACTCCAATGGGTCCCTAAAATTGAGGTTAGTGCTGAACCTATATACAGCCTGCACTGCATAATGATATTTTGGTCAACGATGGGTCCCCTATATGACAGTGGTCCCATAGGTTATATCATGAAGTGACATCATGTCTTAGCTTATGTAAGTGTACTATTTCCACAACAGTAAAATGACACATTTCTCACAATGCATTCTTGTTATTAAATGATGAATTATTATATACTATGTTTTTCCTACGTATGAATGTCTATGCTAAATTTTAATTTATAAAGTAGGTACAGTTAGAGATTAATAAACTCACTAAGAATAGAATAGAACAACTGTAACAATACACTATAACAAAATTACCAGCATCACTACTCTTGTACATTGGGGTCCACATGAAGTCATATAAGGGCTACATCATAACAACCACTGTGTTACTGCAACTGTTGATCTGACAGTCATGACAGCTACCAAGTGACCAATGGGTGGGTAGCACATTAGGCGTGGATATGCTGGACAAAGGGAGGCTTTTGCTACTGAGGCAGGGTGGTGTGAGACTTCATCACGTAACTTTGAATGGTTTAAAAAGTATGAATTATTTATTTATGGAATTTCCTACTTAATATTTCCCTACCCCAGTCTATGGAGGGTAACTGAAACTGTGGAAAATGAACCTGTGGATAAGAAAGACTACAGTACACTTAGGAATTTGTTTTCGAACGTAAGTATAATTCCTGTTTAACAGTATGTACGCATAAAATTTATGTATTATTCAGTCACAAGCCATTATGGTCAATATTACTTTTGATGCTCAAATTGCCCCAGCTTTGGGCAGGCAAGCCCCTTTAAGCTGGACTCCATCATGTTGACAGGTAGCCATTATTTTAAAAACACTTTATTTTCTGTCACTGACAGATATTCTAGACCCTTTCTAGATATTCTTGCCTTTTAATTGCACTGTTCCTGAAATAGGCCATGTCTCCAAGGAATCCTACTTCATTTGAATTGGAAAAAATGAAATTTCAAAGCCACAATCTGAGTGTGAACACAATTGCCAATGAAGGAGCACGGCTTCTAGTTGTTTCCAGTGGAAGCACATCTTTCACCTTCTGTCCACAGAATTCTCCCTGCATCCTTGCCTTCCCCTTTTCATATCCACATCTTCGTGTTTGTATGGTAAGAATCAGGGCTCCCAATATCATTGCATTTACTGGGGTGTCCCTTTCCACCGTGTATACAAACCTATTATGCTACAAAACAACAACAAAAACAGTACCAAGAAGAGCTTGCTGTTTGCTTTTCTTCAGCAAGAAGGTATGTAATAAAAACCCTGTGTTCAGAAGATACTAGACTGGTTCTCCACCTTCATCATTAGAATGGTTATGTTACTCATTTGAAATTCTATTTGGCTCATTGGTTTCCAATAATATACAAATTTAATTTCCCCCTCTTCTTGACTTCATTTTATTGTTTTGAATATGTAAAACATTAACATGATTCTGAAAATAAAAGCTACATTGAGAGACATAGTCAGTGAGATTTCCCACCATCTTCTACCCATTCCTGTTTAACTCTTATACTTTCTTTACTTTCATCCTCCCTCCTTTTTCTAATCTTGCTTTGTCACTGTCGAGTTAAAATCATGTCCTTTGACTCCCTCCTTCATCACATTTGTAATGTAATTACTCTTCTTTTTCTTACCTTCTTTTAGTTGCATTTTTTTTTCCTGTTTTATCAGAACATAATCATATTTCACATAGGATTCTTACACCTTTGTCCCTATCCTTGTTTTGACCTCTTCAATGGACTATGATTGTGGTTGGTGGGTCTTATATTCTCTTTTAAAGCATTTGAAATTTCCCTTCTTCCTTTTTTTCCCTTCACAACCACATCTCCAAATTGTACATCGTTTTTTGCTCTTTACCTCCTTCTTCCCAGACATATTACACTCCTGAGACTCTGCCTGAGGATTGCACACTTTTGAGCCCTATCTTACAGTCAGCACTTGGACCCTGGCACCTGTGATCAGTGTTGACCACGTGGTACTGGATTTTCTCATTCTGGGTGACCTTTCTTCTTCTCTTTCTTCTATCATCATCCCCAGGCACACAGGCTTACAGCAGTTCTGTGGGTATCTGATCTTTATTTTCCTACTTACAGTAATTTGAAATCTGTATGTTCTCTAGTTCTGATAATGAGCAGACATGGGCTAGTGTGGTTTTATGTTTCTTGGTGATTTGAATATTTTCTTTGGCAGAGGCATGAGAAGTTTCAGATTTAGGCCAGTTTTTTATCAGTTTAATCAACAAACTTGAGTAAAGTGACTGAATCTGAATGGT